ATACTTCCCACTAGTCCCATTTACTGTGAGCTTATGGGGTAAACCACCTCAACGATGCATCTTTCTAATTGGCACAAGGGCACAGTATAGAATGGTGGAAACTCTTTCCAAAGACCACCCCAAAACTGCTTGTATGGAAGGAAGCACAATGACTGGAATCTAGGCCTACTGACTTCCAGCTCATGACTTTAAATGAAGGTGAAAATTCTCACAGGAAACGAATTTACTGACTTCCTAGAGATAGTCACTTAGCCCCATCCAGGGATCACTGGAAGGACTGCTTTGTGACGAGAAGAATGTAGTGTCCACACTAGATGTGCAGCGTCCACTGCACCAGAGGTGCACTGACCCATCTCTAGACCTTTTCTACAGGTGTTCTCCTCCTCTTTCCCTGGCCTTACCTTTCAAATATCCTCCTCACTCTTTATTTACCATATGCCAGGCACTTTGCTAAGTATTTTATAAGAATTCTTTCCAGGACTTGCCTGGCGGTCCAGTGGTTAAGACTCTGAGCTGTGGTACAAAACAAGACAAGCCACCAAAATGAGAAGCCCATCAGTGCACCTGGAGAAAGTCTGGGCCCAGCAATGACAGCCCTGAACAACCAAAAACAAACTAATTAATTAATTTTAAAAGAGAATCCTTCCAGAGCTTAACTGAACCCAGCTAGATAAGTGACCACAGCTATAACACAAGGCACCTAGAAACCACCCACCTGAGCCCAGTCAATCCACAGAAACATAGAAACGTGAGAATTAAAAGTTTACCATTGGTTTAGGCCACTAAATCATTTTAGGGTGATTGGTTACACAGCAAGAGATAATCGCAAGAAGCAACAGTTAAAACCGGACATGGAACAGCTGACTGGTTCAAAATTGGGAAAGAAGTACCACAAGGCTGTATATTGTCACCGGGCTTGTTTAACTTCCATGCAGAGTACATCATGCAAAATGCCAGGCTGGATGAAGCACAAGCTGGAACCAAGATTGCCAGGAGAAATATCAACAACCTCAGATATGCAGATGATACCATTCTAATGGCAGAAAGTAATGAGAAACTAAAGAGCCTCTTGAAAGTAAAAGAGGAGTAAAAAAGCTGGTTTAAAATTCAACATTCAAAAAACTAAGATCATGGCATCCAGTCCCATCAGTTCATGGCAAACAGAAGGGGAAAAAATGCAAACAGTGACAGATTTTATTTTCTTGGGCTCCCAAATCACTGCGAACGATGACTGCAGCCATGAAATTAAAAGATGCTTGCTCCTTGGAAGAAAAGCTATGACAAACCTAGACAGAATATTAAAAAGCAGAGACATCACTTTGCCAATTAAAGTGCATATTGTCAAAGCTATGTTTTTCCAGTGTCATGTACGGATGTGAGAGTTGGACCATAAAGAAGGCAGACCACCAAAGAATTGATGCTTTCAAACTGTGGTGCTGGAGAAGACTCTTGAGAGTCCTTTGGACAGCATGGAGATCAAACCAGTCAATCTAAAGGAAATCAACCCTGAATATTCACTGATGCTGAAGCTGACGCCTGATTAGAAGGGCTGACTCATTAGAAGAGACCCTGATGCTGGGAAAGATTGAGGGCAGCAGGAGAAGGGGATGACAGAGAATGAGATGGTTGGATGACACCACTGACTCGATGGACATGAGTTTCAGCAAACTCTGGGAGATGGTGAAGGACATGGAAGCCTGGCATGCTGCAGTCCATGGGGTCATAAAGAGTAGGACTAGGACATATTTGACTGAACAACATCAACAAAGAGATAACTGAAACAATATATTTTCTCCCCCTCTTATCTTCAAGGCTATACCCTTAAGCCAGGCAGAAGGGGTCCAGAGAGATGAATAAACCCTGAGTGAAGATTGTGGGCAAAAAGAAATGGAGACTGGATATAGAGCACAGCAAAGCTGAGTCTGCAACACTGTATTCCCTCAATGATTATCTGGGTGCCTACTATGTGCAAGGTAGCACAGCCCAGTAATTAGGGGTATGGGCTTGGATTCAGATGTGCTGAAATCCTGGCTCTCCCACTTGCTAGCTATAAGAATTTGGAAAAGTTACTTAAACTTCTCTGAACCTCAGCTTCTCCAGACAGTGGAATGGAAGTCAACTATAACTACTTCCAGAAGCTGCTGGGAGGAAAAGACAAGGTAATGTAGGAAAGCACTTTCTCCCCCTACCCCTAGGAAACTAGGAAACCCCTCTCACGCTTTGGCCATAATGTCACAAACGCCACTTTCTCAAGGAAGCCTTCCCTAATAGCACTCTCCAAACTTCCCAACTCCTGTGTACTTCCCCTGTGCAAACACACATCATCAGCTGGAGTTATGTGTTCACTTATTAATCATTTATTCATGTTAGTCACACCCACTAGAGACCATCAGCTCCCTGAGAAGAGAGTCTGTCTGTGGTGCCCTATACCCAGAACAGAGCCTGCCACCCAGAAGAAAAGTGTCTTTAAATATCTGCTGAATGCAAGAAAAGCATTTAGCCCAGAAGCCTGATTCATGCGAAGTATTCTCTAAATGAGTCTGGCCCTGAGCTATGTGCTTCTGTGTTAAGCTTCCTTCCACTAATAAGCTTCCTACCCAGAGGAAGCTTATTAGAGTCTAATGAGGAAAAAGACACATGCAGAACTATCCAACACTGTCAAAGATGGTCACTGAGGCCCAAAGTGTCTCTCAATGCCAAGGGACATTGCATGAGAGTTGTTTTGTAGTTTCCTAAGGGTAGGGGGAGAAAGTGCTTTCCTACATTACCCAGTTTATTCCTCCCAGCAGCTTCTAGAAGTAGTTATAGTTGACTTCCATTCCACTGTCTGGAGAAGCTGAGGTTCAGAGAAGTTTAAGTAACTTTTCCAAGTTCTTACAGATAGCAAGTTGGAGAGCCAGGATTTCAACACATCTAAATCCAAGCCCATACCCCTAATCACCAGGCTGTGCTACCTTGCACATAGTAGGCACTCAGATAATCATTGAGGGAATACTGACAAGGCAGAGATTACCTTGTGATGGAAACAACCCAGAAAGGCTTTCCAAAGGAGCAGTGGCATTAGAGAACTCACATTTGTTAGTGCCAGTCCTAACAAAAAATGGGGTGGTGGCTTTTTCTCTTTAGGGCCCAGAAGCCTAATCTAAGGCAAAGTCTACATCAGATCAATAAATAATTTATTTGTTTGCTCATTCATCACTTATTAGATGTATACTGAGTACCTAGGAACTGCCAGGTACTAATCTAGATATGAGATCAATTAACAATGTCAAAAAGCTGGCATTCCACCCCCAAAAGGCCTCCATAGCAACCCCATCATAACCAGGGTCCCACTCACTCCTCTGTGACCTGGGCCCCCAACAGTATCACTTCCTCTAATGGAGGTCAGGTCTTACCTCTTTTAAAAAAATATACATCTCCAGGAACTTCCCTAGTGGTCCAGTGGCTAAGACTCCAGGCTCCCAATGCAGGGGCCCTGGGTTCAATCCCTGGTCAGGGAACTAGACCTCACATGCTGCAACTAAAAAGAAAAGGATCCCTCAGGCCACAACTATGACTGGATGCAGTCAAATAATTTTTTTTTTAAATAAATTTAAAAACCCATCTCCAGGCTTCCAGAGAGTATTGCCAGTGGAGGCTGCCCAAGATAAAATACAATTCTTGCAAATCTCCTGAAGATGTAAGCTGAAAGGTCTTCTGATATCACACTCTCATCTGTGGACAAAGAATGTCACCTGCCATTTCGGTTAACACACAACGTTATGGCATAAATCTTTCAGCCTCTGGGGCCATCTCTGAGGGTGCACCCTGAGGGGATTCAGGACAGAGAAAAACAGGATAAAGGCCCTAGACAGTTAAGGAGCTTATCAAAGGAATTTCGATGAGTCCAGACTCTTGAATTATTCCATACACAGAAAAGCATTAATTCCATTAATTTGAGATGTCTGGTTTTTTTTCAATAGCAGTAATCTTTGGACAGTCAACTATCCTTTTCTTTGTTTAAACTCATATATTCTGGCTTCTTCCTAACTTCTTCCAACCAATCCCTCAGAGCTATCTGAGAGACTATATCCAGGCTTAGTCCTCAGCAAGTATGCCCAATAAAAATCTAATTCTCAACTCTTAGGCTGTGCTTTTTTTTTTTTAATACAACACATCTTAGATGAAGAAACTGAAGCCTCCAGAGAGATGACCCTTGATCAACATCATCAAGTGAGCTAACTAAAAGCAGAACCAGACTAGAACCCAGGGGTCCCACATCTCAGGTCTGGATGCTTGGTTTTTCAAAGAATTTTCTATTCTACCGTTACAAGCCACAGTTCCAAGAAAAGCCCTTGAGATAAAGAGAACCACTGACTACTGCGCCTAGATTGTACAGTTACAGAAGCGCGAATAACCGTAACCTTGCAAAGAACTTAACAGGCAAGCGTCAGTCACTGTGATAAGCACTCTGTGGGAAGTATTTCACTTGAATCCTCACAACTCCTAAATTGGTACTATTATTTTTCCCATTTTACAGATTACAAAACTAAGGCATGGAGGCGCCCAAAGTCCCACCCACAGCTGTTAACAAAAGAGAAAGGGGTGAAGTGGCAGAACGACAGTGCAGAGTAAACGAGGATGGCGGCACCCACGGCCCCCACTAGCTTTGACTCAGTAAATGATGTATTTACTGGAGACACCGACAAGCTCTGTCAAAGGGGCTCCAGAGCCGGGGCTCCCCGCGCCTCTCCCTCCAGCTGCGGCAGTTGTGAACGCGATGCCAAGCACCGAGCCTTTCCCTCATCCTGGAGGAGGAGCCTTCGAGGATATCCACCCCCGCCCTCGCCCGGCACATCCCAGAGGCAAAGCCCGCAGCTGGATGGGGACCTCCGCGCGGGCAGAGGGAGCAGAGAGGAGGAGGGGAACTTCGGGCGCCGCTGCCGGGAGTGCAGACTGCCTGGCCGCGGGGGCAGCGCGGGAGAACGCGAGCCCCGGCCGAGCCCGAGCGGGCAGAGTACCTTTCGGAGGAAGCTGGCGACCACCTGCTCGAAGGGGTACTTGAACACCTCGTGCACGTCCACGGTGACCCCCATCCCGGCGCGCCTACCACGCCTCCGCCAGCACACTGCGGCTGGAGCTCCGACTGAGCCGGGCCGCAGGCGTCCAAGCCCGGGAAGCCTAAGGGGCGTGGGGGTTTTTTCTCTTCCTTTTTCAAACTTTCGAAACTTTATTGTCCACTCGGCAAAACAGACAGTTGGCACGCCCCCTTTCCCTTCCCGGTCCCCTTCCGCCAGTCTGGGCGGCAGGCGAGGGAGGTGCCGGGCCCCCGGGCGGTGTCGGCCGGAGGCGTCAGGAGCGGCACCACCCCGCCCTGGCTCCGGCTCCGCCCCTCCCCGGTCTAATCACACCTCGGCCACGCCCCACCACGCCCCGCCCCATGGCCACGCCACGCCCCATGGCCACGCCACGCCCCATGGCCTCGCCACGCCCCCACGGCCTCGCCACGCGCACCTCTGCGGACCCGAGTTTCCACCTCCCAGCTGGGGAGTCTTGAACCTTGCCGCTGGGGCTTTTGTCATCACCTCGCCTGAAGCCTTACTTAAGCCGCTACTGGCAGCACTAAAAAGATGTAATAAATACATAAACTACCCTCTCCGAGTGACCCTCCTCAGTGTTGCCCAGTTCAGTGTGACAGAGGCCACAACTGCATTCCTCACAGGACCTGGGCAGTTCCTCTGAGGCTCTAGGTTGTATCTCAAGTACTTAAAAATTGCCTGTATCTGCGTGTGACTCCATAAAGAAATTCCTAAATACATGAAAGGTTAAACACCTTGGGACGAGGAAACAAGGGATAGAAAAAGAATTTTGAATGGTCTTCACTCAAATGTACAGATTTTACAAAAACAAGCCAGTGAATCCATTAATCCAATACCTTATTTAATATATGAATTCCTGGTCACCTACTATGTGCTAAGCACAGTGCAGTAAGGAAAGTATAGTCCCTTCTGTCATATGGAATGAGTTAACCAGATGATTTAACACCCAGTGAGTACATCCTTGGATGGCATCACCGACTCAATGAACATGAGTGTGAGCAAACTCCAGGAGATAGTAATGGACAGGAAAGCCTGGCATGCTGCATGGCATGCAGTTCATGGGGTCGCAGAGTCTGATACGATTCAGCAACTAAACAACAACAAACAAAATAGAAAAAGAAACAAAATAATATGTCAAAGTTACAGGTGACATAATTTTAGCTAGGATGAATCAGAGAGGTCTCTGAGGTGGTGACTTTTACATTTATAATTGTGTAATCTCACTTACCCCTGACAAATAGAGTCACACTGATCTGGCAAAACCTTGAATAAATCCATCTCTCCACTTACTCACTGCCTTACCACTGAGAGAGCCTGGAGAAAAAGTATACACTCAGACTTCTATTTAAATTTGTAACCAACCTCAAGGAGCCTTTTCAGTGGCGCTTAGACCAAAAACAAAAACCCTGCAATTTTCTAATCCACTTCGTGTCCCAGGCTCCTCTCTCTTCAAGCCTCCAGCACTCCCTCCCCAGCTTCATTCTCAAGTGATTATGCAGCTTCCTTTTTCACGTAGTAACAGGAAACATCTCTCTACCATATCTGCCCACCTGTCCATTTGCTCTGCCTTCTCTCCTGTTCTTGTGGACGAACTGGTAACGTTTAGTTTGGGGCCAGTCTCTGCACTTGTCCACCACATCCAGTCGTGGGCTGCAGATGGTTAACAAACAGCTCTACTTTAAAAATCAAACCAAAACAAGGCCTGATGTCTAATGGCTGCAATTTCTGCAGTGTAAACACTCCCACCACAGTCAATTTCAAACGACCAGGGTGGTGTCATTTCCATCACCCACACACTACAGACATAGCTATAAGAATATAGACCATGGTAAAGGTAGTAATGGAATTAGGAGGGAAGCTTTTTGAATATCTATTACCTTTCAAAATATAGTTTAGTAGTATTTTTATATAATTTAATATTTAATAACAGCTGTGTTTAACAACCAGCTGATGAGGTTCAGAACACAGTAGCCCAAAATATGGCACCTCAGCATACAGAATATTTTAAACTGAAGGAGTCTGCCCAAACTGCAGAAGCAGGAAGATCTCTCTGGCCTTCCCCCACCCTCCTCCCCTGAAGCAGACCTTTCCTCTATACCTAGAGGAAAGAAGCATGGTTATCTCCAGGATGAAGGGTCACCAAGAAGAATCTGAACAAACACAGCTTGCCAAGTTTCCCCAGTTTACTACACTTACCTCATCATACCCTTTGTCCTATACTTCTCCACAACTACCCACTCTTTATCAAAGCTAGAATAAAAACACTTATGTTTAACCATTTCTTCAGGTCTTCATTTCATTATGAAGGCTCTTATGTCACTTATAAAACTTACAGTTAATAAATCTGTATCCTTTTCTCTGGAACTTGTCTGGTGGCTCAGCGGTAAAGAATCTGCCTGCAACGCAGGAGACATGGGTTCAATCCCAGGGTTGGGAAGATCCCCGGAGAAGGAATGGCAACCCACTCCAGTATTCTTGCCCAGGAGACCCCATGGACAGAGGAGCCTGGCGGGCTGCAGTCCATGAGGTTGCAGTGTCAGACGTGATTTAGCAACTAAACAACAATGCTTTTCTCCTAATAATCATTGTTAAATTTTCACATCCAGCCAGGGGTCCGAAAAGGGTAAAGGAAAACTTTTTCTCCCTTACACAGCTCTACTACATCCCTAAAAGTTCCTTGTCCTCTTTCTGGCTCAAAGACATCTCTCAAGCCTTATCCACTCCCTCTTTTCTGCATCATCAATTTTGCCTCTACTGGTCGTTCCAGCCACCATACAAGTACATTGTGATTTCTTCCATCTTAAAAAAAAAAAATCCACCCACCCTCAACCCCATATCTTCTGCCAGTTCTATTTCAATTCTCTGGTCCATTTTTGTTCCTATAATCTCTTGAACCCACTCCAACCTGTTTGAGCCCCTGACACTCCACTGAACCTACTGCTGTCAATGTCACCAAGAACTAAATTGTGAAACCCACTAGTTAATTCTTAATCCCCACTTTACTAAACCTATGGGTTACATTTCCTTGGAATATTGAATGAGAAGTGGGGTGGAGGGTTAGATGCCAAAGCCATTACACATTGAATATACGTATAAAGCAACTCTACTCTATCACCAACCCATCCTCAGAGGAAAAAAACAACCAGTGTCCCTGGGAGATTACACACACACACACACACACACACACACAGCCCCACAAAGGGGAGACAGTTTACTTGTGGAGTTTATGGTGTCTCTAATCTGCATCTGCAATCAGACGCAGCTGGAAACTGAGTGTGACACAGAAACTCCTATAAGGCTAGGCCCTAGGCTCCCACTCCATCCTGACCATCGATTTCTTCCAGAACATATCCGTGGAAATCTGCTCACCCACTCCTGGTGAACTGGCCACAAAAAGGCCAAGAATGTATACTGAAAGATTAAAGGACCCAGCACCTGTTGGCTCTACTTGGGCTGATTGGCTAACTGCCTTGTGTAAGAACAAATGCCACCTGCCTGTTCCAAGGACATCAGAGCATTTGAAAGTGAAAAGGGGCCCAGCTGGACAAGGGAGGCCACTGACAAGCAGTCTTGTGGCTCAGAATCACAGCCAGTTTGCACAACTTGCTTACTATGTCCCCAGGGGAGAGAAGAGGGCTGCAAAACAACTTTCCTTTGCTTTGAAATCAGGTGGCTTCACCAGTCAGGGACTCAAGTCTGGAAATTTACTAGCCAGCCTCACAAACTCAGACCTTATGTGGTCTCTAAGATACCAAAATCATCTTTGCATCTTCAAGGCGAGGCCCAGCAGACCATCCCATACATTGGATGGAATGAATGGAGGATTGGCCCTTCACACATGTTGTGAGATATAAGTGGATGGAGAGATTCATCCTGCTCTTCTCTCCGTTTTCATTTACTCACCCTTTTTACGCTGGCTCAGTTTCCTCTTCTGACTCTCTCTTTTTCACCCTGATCTTTTTTTATCGAGTCTTACAACTGTCTGTTCATGTGAATTCTCCACTGAAGTATGAGGTTGTCCAGACTGGAAAGAACTGTGTGCCATTCACTCTTCCCTATCCGGTGTTGAGTAGGAAAAATCTCAGTCCATCTGTTGTGTTTCTCTTTTATGCTCACATTACTACCACACTCACAATACTTCTGACACCAGGTGTGTGGGGGTTTCCCCCACATTGAGAAATTCTGTGACACCAGCTAGGTGTCCTCCAGTGTAACTCAATTCTGACACCATCTATCTGGAGAGAGCAACAGACCACACAAGTTAAGGGGTTAGTCCCACAAGACTGCCCCTCCCTTCAGATGTCAATCCCAAGTCCAGGTGGTTCCTCATGCTTCTGACCCATGGGCTATAAATCAGAGTTTCCCATGGTTCAACTAATTTGCTAGAGTAGCTCTTAGGACTCAAGGAAACAATTTACTTACTGTTTACCAGTTTATTATAAAAGGACCTGACAAGTCAGTTCTCTGCATCTTTGTCTCTATACGTGCCTTGCAAATAGGTTCATCAGTACCATTTTTCTGGATTCCAGTGAGGGAAGGAGAAGGTGGGATGAACTGAGAGAGTAGCATTGACGTATTTACGCTACCAAGTGTAAAATAGATAGTTAGTGGGAAGCTGCTCTATAGCACCGGGAGCTCAGCTTGGTGTCCTGTGATGACCTAGATGGTGGGATGTGGGGAGGGGAGGGATATATATATATACACTTATAGCTGGTGCATGTAAATTTACAGCAGAAACTAACACAACATTGTAAAGCCATTATACTCCGATTAAAAATAAATTTTAAAAAGGAGAGATCTAGTTTCTATACCTTTACCTAATAGAATAGTCATTTTTAAATTTAAAAAAAAAAAGAATATGATAGAGAATAGAGATGAACAGCCAGGTGGAAGAGATGCATATAACCAGGTGGGAAGGGGCACTGGGCTTCCACACCCTCTCTGACCAGGACCTCCACACTTCACCACCCTGGAAGATCTCCAAGCCCCATACTCTGGGGATTTTTATGGAGGCTTCATCACATGGAGGCAAGATCCATCATTAACTTCCCTTTCAGCCCATCTCCCATCTCTGGAGCATAGCAGGTGGGGCTGAAAATTTCAAGCCTCTGATCCTG